ATAATAGTTTTTTCCCCCCCCCCCCCCCCCCCCCCCCCCAAAAAAAAAGAAAAGGATCAGAGCATGATTATGAGATTATGTTCAATATATGAATAGATAGTTCGAAATAACACGCACATTACATGTCCAATTAGTTATTACCAAAATGGTTGGGGAGTACATTAGGAGGGAAGCACGACCATGTGATTGTTAAGTTAGGATGTGATCACTCGAGTGGACTTTGAATTTAATAAAATTGAGTTTAATTAATGGGGTCAAGTTATTTGATGATGTACAATTTTTGTCTTAGCGTTTCAAGACATTGACGCTCAACCCCCACACACAAATGCCCTACATTGCTAGAGGTCCATGTTGTATGTATATAACATCTTTGGCAATAAGTTTATATTATATCATGTTACATTTCATGTGGGATGGTGTCTATTAAAACAATAGTTTACTTTTATCTTTAAGTAAATTAAATAAATGCATCGAACACAATTATTTTCTTTATACAATACAAGTAGATTGAACAGATACGAACAATTCTTTTGCTCGTGTTTTAACAATTTGCCCCATTTACATAAGCGAATGCAATTGACGTCTTTCTAGACTCGTGCAGTGCACCTAAGTGTTTTGTCGTGGATATACGAACATTCTTCCCATTCTAACTTCGAATTATGACGTTAATAGTAATTTTGAGCATATCCATTTCATATACATATTTAATATACACAACCAAAGCACATGGAAGTGACCCAATAATTGAAATTATGAATGTATTTAATTAAAATATTTGTCCAATGATTTATTTCAGGATAGGGATATGTTTGGATTATATTTTACTAATTAAACCAAAAGTAATATTAAATTAATTGATCCCTTTGAGTCTTTGACTCAATACAGAGAATCAGAAGTGTACTTTCAATTATTATTTATTCGACAGTTTGAAGGTTCAAAGATATGATTAAGCTGTTAATTATATAATCTCCCCTCACGAAAATATTCTGCCCTTAATTACAACACTAATCCCACGTAATTCTCTCTAATAATTTCATTCTACGCTTAACGTAGAATCTCTTTGATTTTAGTATCTGTAGCCAATAATAAAGTGCCACGTTTAAGATGTGGGTCGTACTTGCTGCTCATTGGACCAGTAAATAGAACATTGCAAACAAAACATCTACACTAACCTCAGAAGAGAGTGACGTCATCAGATGTACACGTGTCGAGCTATCGATTGATACCGACACATACTGACATGCAGTTCATGGACCGACTCCCGGCGCTTGGTTCTAACTTACGCAAGTTCGTCAATCCCGGCTTAGATGCGCCCCTCTTCATGTTTTTTCCCATACTTCAAGAACCCATAAAAGTTAAAACCCCCTCACTCACTCACTCTCTCATTCGTCGCTCATTTCTGAACCAAAAAAGTTCTGTTAGATCAGCAGTAATTTCATTTATGCGTAAACGCGTTAAAGATCAAGAAATATGTTTTCCATTTTGTATTAGTAGTTCTAGTTTTGGTTCCTAAAAATCAGCATGAATCAGAACTAATTCTGTTCCATTTACTGTTTTTCTTTTCCTTTGTTCTATCTTTTCACATCACACCCTTTTCGTTCATTTCCACTAAATCTTTTCCCACTTTATCAATTTTTTGTACTTATTTTCAGATTTTCTGAAATTTAGTTGTTATATCGAGGTATGTTTACATTCAGATCATGAACTAGGGTTTGGATTTTTCTGATTGGTTGTGGGGCGGGAGATGATGAATGTGAGAAATTCTGGATTTTGGGATGTTGTTTGTTGATGGGCCTTTGATAGGTGCATAAGAGGTTGAGCTTTGTTTATGGGTGAATTTGCTATGTTTGGGAATCTTAGACGCCGCCTGGTAGGGACACTGCCTTTAGATGACCAGACAGAGATGGCGCAAGGAAGAAATCGACATTCTAGAATCTGTTTATTAGCTTCACTATCAGCTTTCTTTTGGTTTTTGTTGTTATATTTCCATTTTGTTATGCTTGCAAGTAGCAGTGCTGTGACTCAGTTAAACCCCTTTACCCGAAATACTGAATCAATGAAAACCCGCATGCGTAATCCCAGCCCGATCCCGATTAATAGCCATGTTGCTAGTGATAGTCCTAAATTTGACGTTCATCGTGAAAAAGAAATATCTGCTAATGGTAAATCAAACGATGAAAGCCCTAACATTGTGACATCAAGCAACGTGAAACGTTTGCCTGTGAATAAGAAAGATAGGGCTCAGAGTGAGATGGAAAAATATCCTTTTATGAGGGCATTAAGAACAGTAGAGAATAAGAGTGATCCGTGTGGTGGGAAGTATATTTANCAATGCAAGAACTCCAAAGTTTGCAAACTATTGGAGTGTGATTTTGGAGAGAGCAAGTGTCATTCTCCAAGCAGTATAATGCAAATGTTTCAGAGCTCTCTTTTCTGCCTGCAGCCTCAGGGTGATTCATACACGAGAAGATCATCATTTGACTCTATTTTGGCTGGTTGTATACCTGTCTTCTTCCATCCAGGTTCTGCCTATGCGCAATACACCTGGCATTTGCCGAGAAATTATTCACAGTACTCCATTTTCATTCCAGAGGACGACATTCGTAAGAGGAATATCAGCATAGAACAAAGGCTCGGTGAAATTTCTCCAGGGAAGGTAAGAGAAATGAGGGAAACGGTTATAAATCTCATCCCGAGGCTTATATATGCAGATCCTCGCTCCAAATTGGAGACTCTCAAAGATGCCTTTGACGTGGCTGTTCATGCTGTTATTGACAAAGTTACAAAGTTGAGGAGAGACATAATCAAGGGGGGAAAAGATGATAATTTTATCGAGGAGCTTAGTTGGAAGTACGCCTTGTTAGATGAAGGCCAAGAGGTAGGGCCTCATGAATGGGATCCATTCTTCTCAAAACCTAAAGACAACAAAGCGGATTCCAACAGTTCATCGGCGGAAGCTGCTAAAAACTCCTGGAAGAATGAGCAAAGACAGTAGTCATGAATTGAAATCGACATTTTCAAATTTCCAGCAATGCATGGTGTAAGATGGCTGGATCTTCAATCAAGACACCAGTGGTGCATTTTATGCGCAGTGAGGCACGAATTTCGGGCTTGGTATGACACAACATTATATAGTATATGGTCTACAAATGAAAATCTTGTTTAAAGACAAGATGTAGAGATACACAATTGTAGTTCCAGTATAAATATGTTTCTTATATGTCCTTCACAGATATTGGTTTTTGCCATTCTTCTAAAGGATTTAGTATACAGATTCTGTGTCATGGGCCTCATGGCTGAGTGAATATAACCTCATGTGCTGAATGTTCACTTCAGGGAAAGGTACAAGAGAGAAAAATGAGTACTTGTCTGTCATTTTTGCTTTTAGTAATAGAAATCAATCGATTAATCGTAAACAGTCCCTTTTGTTACAATTCGTTTTTACTTTAGTTTTCCGAATGGTTCAGAAAGCATATGTAGTTGTTAATTGTCACTGATCTTGTCTATTCATCGCTATATCTAATCGAGATCTCTGAATATGCTGTTTCTAGGATATTTCGGCTAAAATGTTCTTACACTTGGTGAGATGGATGTTGTGTTGAATCTGATTGTCTAGTGATTGCAGGACCAGATATGTAAATATTCTTGTTCTTGTCTGTGGATTACTGTACATTTCTATAGGCAATAGTTTGTTTGAAGTGATTCTTAAAGCTTTCTTGAGGAAATTGCTAAAATTGTTATCAACTTGCTGTCAGCAAGGATGAAGCATCCGTTTGCTGGACTCGTGCAGTCTTGATTTGCAAAATGTAGGGAAAGAGATGCTGATCTTTTTAGTTCGAAATATTAGAAATTAATATCAGCTTACATGTCTTTTCTGCTAAATAATGTATGCCGTTTTACTGCCCAGTTAACTGTTTCTGATGAAGTTTTTAATCAGTGTGGGTTCTGCCTCTGCTGCATTGTGATCTTTATTTTAGCAAGATGGATTTGACTTCGTTGGACAGTATTAAGAAAGAGCGAGAAATAAGATAAATTGCTGTCTATTGTACGGTACAATTCTCGTGGTGAGAGTACAACATCGCATTTGTTCGCTAATTGATATTGCATGATTTTGTTATTTGATTATGTCCTATTGAGATTGAATCAGAATTTTTGGAAATTTTCATAAAAGTTAATAAAATGTATGGTTAAAATTAAATGGTGATTTTGACTGATACAGTTTATAAAACGATCTATCAATTCACTTAAAGTCAAACATTGATTTTAACTATATATTTATAATTATTACTCATTATTATTCACGTATTTGTGGGATTCACTATTGTTCTTATTAGCTAAACGGAGTTGCGTTCCATCTTATTTATGAATATCGAGATCGTATTTGCACTTTGATTTTATTAAGACATTAAAAATTATTCGCAATTTGAGTTCATTTTCGAATTAGATGATTGAAGAAAGTTAAAATAATAATAATAATTATTATTATATAAAAAAAATTATATTTCAGATTTCAGTGGGCCTGTGACCCGCTTGTTGTCGCCTGGTTTCATCGGAGAGGGTGAGGCATAGGAGTGTTAAATGAAATGAATCAGTCATCAATTAAAACGGGTTGGTTCAAGAGCAAGGTGATTTAGTTTGCTCATGTGGGCTCAGCTCGGCTTGTGATCCTTGCTCTTTAGTTTGCTCATGTGGGCTCAGCTCCGCCCTTAACCACTCAAGCCCTCAACTTAGCCCTTAACCACACAAGCTCGGCTGGTGATTGTGGGCTCAGCTCGTACTCAAGGGGCGAGCTCGCCTCAACCTACGAGCTCATAAATTCACGAGCCACGAGCTTGTGGGGCCGAGTCAAGCCCACCACGAGCTCGATTTTTTCTTCACATTTTTTACAAGCCCATGGCTCGTGAACTTTTGGCTCATGGGCTGAGCAAAGCTCGGCTCATTGGATCCCACCCTGCTCGGCTCGTGCTTGAGCTCAGGAGCTCAATTTTTTATTTTTATTTTTGAAAATTATCAAACTTTTTCTTCACATTTTTTACGAGCACACGGTCCACGAGCAGTTCGCGAGCTCGGCTCATGTTTAGGCTCATCAAATCACCCACAAGCAGAGCAGTCAAGTTGAAAAATCGCTCGACCCATTTGACATCCTTAGCGCCTAGGCGCTAATTTAAAAATTGAGAATAGCTTTAAAAGCTTTTCCAAAACTTTGGACTTGGGATGCAATTTTTAAAAAGTTTTGAGGGTTTTCAGAGTGGGAGACGCAGCCACTGTTGGATCTTTCTCTTGATCCCCTTCTCTTTTCCTTCTCTTTTCCTTTCTTTTTCTTTTGATTTACTTGTAATTTTTGGGACAAAATCAAAATTATAAGGAGAATATATCCAAAGAAATATTTGGGAAATTCAAGAGCAAGTCATTTGATCTTCAAAAATTCAACAAAAACGGGTTTTATTTATTTTTATTTTCTCCATTATTTTGTCAAACTCGTAATGTATTATTATAAACACTCTCTTTTCTGTCATTTGTATAAAATGAGCTAATTATTTGTATTATAATTTATGGTAGTACATTATCTTAACCTTAATTAATTTCAATATTTATATTCTAATATTAAAATGCTTATTTTCATGTGGATCCATTATTGTATTTCTTGCATTTTCATTTATGTGTCAATGAATAATTATGTTTAGTGGTTTGTACATAGTTTGAGAAAAAATTATGCATTCTAGAACAAATAATAAAAGACATAGGTTCGTGTAGAGGGTGAAGATATACCCCTAACTTTAAATGGCACATTAAACTATTTTCACAAAAATTTAATGTAATTGTTCGATTTTAATCGACACCGATCAATTAAGGTTAATTTCACTTGAGAGAGGTAATTAACTAAACTTAAAAAATCGAGTATCACATCGTAAATGAGTAATTTGTTAGTTGACTTGTGGAGAAATTAATTAGACGATGATTAAAAGAAATCATGAATCCTAACTACGTTTTTCTCCAAAATTCACAAATTAGTTTTTCATTTTTCTTTTTTGTAGAAATTTAATTATTTCCCTTATTTTTCAAAATCATAATTTATTGTGTGTTTCTTTTATTATTAGAATTAAATTGATTAAAGTTGTGTAATCGAAAGTAAACATTCCTCGAGAGATTGATAATTCGGACTCAAAGAGTCCACTTTAATATTTGAACACAATCCGTACCCTTGCAGTTTGCACTTTTTTAGCGAACAAGTTTTTGACTCCTTCGTCACGGAATTTTTTTACTTTAATTATCAATTTAGTTAATTTTAATTTTAAAAATTTCTTTATTTACTTTCTTTTTAAATCTTTTGGCTAACCCATATTGTTAATCTATCTTGCATCGGTATTCTCTCTTTGTGTTCAACGGCGGACCGTTCATACCCTAACTTTATTTCCGACGCCATTCATCTTTCAACTTTAAGTCATAAATCATATTAGTCCAAAAAACGAATCCCATTCAAAATTATTAATGACTGTTCTATATGAACAACAAATTGATGACATACTACCCCATATGACGTTACTTTGACTTTTAAAATGAAATAGAAACATACTTTCCTCTACGAAAATGGTGCAATTTTTCCCCTGTTGGCGTATTTGCCTTGAAGCAACGTTTGATGGGATGCCACGCCTTCTATTCGTTGTCCAAGTAAATCGTCCGTTAGTAATTTAGGAGTGAATCCTTTCAAAACAAATGAGGTTCTCAATTAAAGTTAAGCGACCAACAAAACCTGATTTAAAGTTTGGGGTTATGCTTCGTGAACTGTGTAAAGACCATTTTAGGTTTTTCACACTACGAGGAAATGTAACACTTTCATTTTAGACTATTGAAGTACATTATGCTGTTTTGAAGTATGTTATTGAATAATTCTATTTATGCACCAATCTATGTAGCATTCAAATATTAGATCGTCTTAAAAGTAGGGATGCAAATCCCATTTAAGATAACATCATTTAAATACACCTGGAATAACCACATAGCACCGTTCCAATTTCCTTGCTAAAATGCCTTTGAAATTCTTGCTCTAAAGTATAAATTTTTTAAAAATAGTCTCCGTTTGTTAGTGATTAAAATCAAATTTTTAATAAATTTTGATAAAAATTGTGGATCTTATGAAATATGAGATTGAAATTGTTTGCAACTTTGATTTGGATTAAAATTTAGAATTTAATCCCTATCAAACGATGACATAATTTAAGTTTTGCACGTAATGAACTATTCTAATTGATTATTTAACAAACATTCAAGCTTTTCACAATTTTACATTTGGTTTGAATGCAACATAGAACCAAAGAAACCAAACCATGTAGTACGAGGCACAAGCAGCATGTGGTCTGAGGAGCCTGCGATGTTGAGGCAAACCAGAGCGTGTAAATAAATATAAATGAGGCCCCACCAATCCATACCAATAATTACTTTCTCCTCCCTAATTTTCCAAGTTCTCTCATAATTTCAAAAATCTTATTCACCGTAACGTCCCGTCCACCGTCCAGTGCTATGTTCCAGTACTAAACAACAGATTCTGCGACAAAGATTCAAGGGCGGAATTTGATGTACTGTAGTACATTAAATTTGACCAAAACATCCCGTGAAAGTCAATACATTTGAGCTCCTCAAGAAACTAAATCCTCTGCGTCTCTCTCTCTCTCTCTCTCTCTCTCTCTAACTATCTCTGTCCAAAAGATACTCGTGATGAAGAGCTCTTAAATTTCACGAGCTTTAACTCTGTCTCAGGGTTCAGACATGGCTCCTAAACCCAGATTTGAATTCTCTTCAACGCCTTCAAATACCGCGTGTTTCATTCCTGGAAATGTGCACCACCACTGCTGCTACTACTACTATCCAAAATTCATACTATTTGGTAGCGCTCCATGGAACCCAAAATTCGACTTCGTTTTTCCATCTTTTTACTCTACATTCTTTGCGTCCGTGCGCAGAATTTACAAACCTATATAGTTCAACTCCACCCACAGGGGTTAACGAAGTCTTTGTTTAGCTCAAGACTTCATTGGCACCTTTCAGTCCTTGAAAAAACCATTTCCAACAATGAGGATTCTTCGTCCCGACTCTTGTACTCTTACAGCTCTGCAATTGAAGGTTTTGCAGCTCAACTATCAACAGCCGAGCTTAAGACCTTGCAGAAGTCACATGAAGTAATTGCCATAAGACCAGATAGAAGGCTTGAGATACACACTACTTACTCTTACAAGTTCCTAGGACTAAGTCCAACTGGAGGAGGAGCTTGGTTGAATTCTGGATTTGGTCGAGGGGCAATAATTGGTGTACTCGACACTGGTGTCTGGCCAGAGAGTCCGAGCTTTGATGATCAAGGGATGCCTCCAGCTCCACAGAAATGGAGAGGGACCTGCCAAGCAGGACAAGATTTCAGTGCTTCAAATTGTAACCGAAAACTCATTGGTGCCAGGTTTTTCAGCAAAGGTCATCGTGTGGCGTCATTGTCATCATCACCTGATATAGTCTCAGAATACATATCACCACGAGATTCTCATGGTCATGGTACCCATACAGCATCCACTGCTGCCGGAGCTCCAGTGCCAATGGCAAGTGTCCTCGGAAATGGAGCTGGTGAGGCTCGAGGAATGGCCCCAGGTGCCCATGTTGCCATATATAAAGTTTGTTGGTTCAGTGGCTGCTACAGCTCAGACATCCTTGCAGCAATGGATGTAGCCATCAGAGATGGAGTTGACGTACTCTCCCTTTCACTAGGAGGCTTCCCTGTACCCATATATGAGGATACCATTGCCATTGGCAGTTTTCGAGCAATGGAGCATGGCATTTCCGTAATATGTGCTGCAGGAAACAATGGGCCAATCCAATATTCGGTTGCCAATGAGGCTCCTTGGATTGCTACCATTGGTGCAAGCACGCTTGACCGGAGATTTCCAGCTATAGTTCAACTAGGCAATGGGAAATTCCTATATGGAGAATCCATGTACCCCGGGAATCGAGTTCACAGTGCAGGGAAAGAACTCGAGCTAGTTTATATAACTGGAGGCAATAAGGGTAGTGAATTTTGCATGAGAGGGTCTCTTCCAAAAGCAAAAGTACGAGGTAAAATGGTAGTGTGTAAGCGCGGTGTCAATGGGAGAGCCGAGAAGGGTCAGATAGTGAAGGAAGCAGGCGGTGCTGCAATGATCTTAGTGAATACAGAAATTAATTTGGAGGAAGATTCAGTCGATGTCCATGTCCTCCCAGCAACATTGATAGGATTTGATGAATCAATTCAGCTGGAAATTTATATGAACTCCACAAGGAGACCAAGAGCTAAAATCATATTTGGAGGAACCATCATTGGAAAATTCCGAGCACCTGCAGTAGCTCAATTTTCGTCAAGAGGACCAAGTTTTACAGATCCTGCAATCCTCAAGCCGGATATAATTGCCCCAGGAGTTAATATAATTGCTGCTTGGCCACAAAATCTCGGCCCGAGTGGCCTTCCAGAAGATTCTAGAAGAGTGAACTTCACTGTCATGTCAGGGACTTCCATGGCTTGTCCCCACGCCAGTGGAATTGCTGCTCTGCTTCACTCAGCTCATCCAAAATGGACCCCAGCTGCAATCAAATCCGCACTTATGACAACTGCAGATATGATGGATCATCTAGGCAAACCAATAATGGATGGCGACAAGCCTGCCGAGCTGTTTGCAATCGGAGCAGGACATGTAAACCCAGGACGAGCCATCAATCCAGGACTGATTTACAATATCCAGCCAAATGATTATATAACTCATCTATGCACTATTGGGTATACAAGATCTGAAATTTTCTCCATAACTCACCGGAACGTGAGTTGCCATGACATTGTGCACCAGAACAGGGGATTCAGCCTCAATTACCCCTCAATTTCTGTAATTTTCAAGCCGGGAGAGACACGGAAGATTATTAAAAGACGGCTGACAAATGTGGGGAGTTCTAATTCCATTTACACAGTGGAAGTAGTGGCACCCGAGGGAGTCAACGTGCGAGTGAGACCACAACATCTGATATATAAACATACAAATCAAACTTTGAGCTATAGAGTTCGGTTTACATTAAGGAAAAGAATAAGAACAGATACTACAAGATATGCTCAAGGACGTTTGACATGGGTGAAGAGTGGAAGGAGTTTTAATAGGGTCCAGAGTCCTATTTCAGTAACATGGGCATCAAAGAATTGAAAACATGTAGTGCTCATTACTCGACTAATGCTGCTTTATTCTTCTTCGATCTCATCACTATGAGACAATAATCTTCGAGTTTCATCTTTTATGTAATTGGTTTAGGTTGCTATATCTATTATCAACCTATACTTCTACTCCAAATTCTATCCTCAAAAGACACTCCTAGTTCACCTAGCATGTACCCACTTCTTGTACTATGGTCTCGAACATCTATAGTACTGTATGGTAATACCGACACTGTGTCACCAACCTATGTGAGAATCTTCAATCTTGCACAATAACCTATCTAGCTTCTGAGTAAAGGCAAAATTGATCTAACTAAACTTTAGTTTGTTTATGGAAGTTAATAAATGAGAGCCTCCCTTTCCAGAATGTACATTCATTGACACCAAATCATAAGCTATTTTAAACTCAACCAATGGTATTATCTTTCTTGTTTTAATTCCAAACATAAAAATTTCAGTGCATTGTTCCATATCACGAGTTACCTTTCTCTACATTGTCAACCAGTGAAATCCTAAATGAACTATTCTATGACTTCCTATATTCGTTGCTCTGACGCCTCATCCAATTTCCTATAAACGGAACACCAATTGACTCTCCTAAACATCATATCATATAGGTTTAATATTTTTCTCTAAGTGTTCCTACATATTTCTTCGTTTTCCCAGAATCATGCAAGCAATGTGGCCTTTTGCGGAGGGTTTCCACCAACCCAAAAAATATTCAAATACAACAATTTTACGTTAAAATGTAAAACATTCACTGAAACTTTGCCAAAAAGAAGAAACAAATGAACAGAACTAAATTGGACATACTAACCGACAGGGACGAATCCAACCTCCACGTTCAGCTAGGGCGGGGGTTGAACTTGACCATTGACTATTGACCGTCGACAATCAACGATCGTAATAGCCCAATCCTTTATTAAAATTTGATTAAATAATATTAAAAATTATTCAATATATATGTAAATGCACTAAAATGTAAAAATTATATACATATGAAAATATAGTTTCAATACAATACTAATAAAATATATGGTTCAAGTGTTATTTAACAACTCATGTTCTCAGCTAAAAGCAGTGGCGGGATTAGAAATACAACTAGAACTAGGTATAGACTTCCGTTTCGGTTGAAAAAATCGATCCATACTCTGCCCCCAATTTAATTTTCAATTAAAATTTATTAAAAAATCACAATTCTTAGCAATAACTCCTAAATCCTAATTTCCGTTTCTGTATGAATTAAACATTGATTCACTGTCTGACAACAAAGGATTTGCAAATTGCAATTGCACAAGCACAAATCAACAATATAAGTATACAACAAACAAGTACAAGAGTCAATAGTAAGACAAACAAAAGTCCAAAACAATTCAAAAAAAAAAAACTATTCAAGCCTTCAAGAATTCAAGTCATTCGACACCCCAGTCACCACTGCAAATTGTAGGCTGCTTGCTCGGCCTAGGACTCAATCCTCGCAGCCTTGACAATCACCTCTAGTCCTCGAAGTCTGTCGTGCTATCACAATTTTACTGAAATACATGTCAACAAATTTCGTGCTATCACAATTTTACCCCACACTTCGGCATGCTGATCAATTAGATCCTCATACAGATCACATTTTTATCATGCATTTTCATGTAAAAGATATGTACACAAAGTAGATAAAAATTTATAATTACCAAACAATTAAATGAGCAAAGTGGAAAATTCTTCTGAAACCAACAGCCTAAGAAGCACCGACACGGACACGAGTGTCCGACACGTGATTTTTTTAAAAAGTTCCGATACGACACGTCGCCGATACGTTGATTAAAAAAAAAATTGTTTATTTTAATTTTATAGTCTAAAGTATTAATTTTTTGTACTTATTGAATCATATATATAATGATAAATAGAAACCAAACTTGACATTAAATTCATCAATGTTTCTTAATGACATAAGTTCAAAAAGTAAAAATGAAATTAATTACATCATTCATCTTGAATCTCTTCAACATCTTCATCTCCATCAGCAAATACCATCACCTCCAATTCCTGTTCGTCTAGAGATAAATTAGCGACTTCAAGCACACCAATATCTTCAAATGTATCAAATGCATCTCCACCAATATCCCACATTTTAGTCTCTCCTTGTGAGTATTGCGCACTCCTCCTTGACAAGAGACGAAGATTGCTATAGACGAAAACCAAATCTTCCGCATGTTTTGGAGTTAGCTTATTTCGTTTAAGAGAGTGCAAAAAGGAATAAGTACTCCAATTTCACTCACAACACAATGAAGAAGATGGTTGCCCCAATAATTTCAAAGCATAACTTTGAAGCATAGGTGTGCAAGCACCATAAATAACCCACCAAGTCTTTGGGTCTAAGCAGTAACAATCATGGATGGATTCAAAATCACCAAAGTCATCTTCCATATTTGAGAATTTGGCATACTCCTTATTCACCATAATACGCTCTTCATTTGACAAGTACCTCTTAAAGCATTTTATTCTTTCTCTTGAAATCTCTACATCTCTATGTGGAGCAAATGTGGGATCCTTATTAAGCCATTCCTCGCTATAGTACCTAAACAAGAGAAAAATAAAATAAAAAAATGACAATTCATTCAATAACTAACTAAACATTTTAAATATTATGATGATAATGTAAATAAACATTAAATGTATGAATTAGATTTAAAAATTACCTTGGATTTAGAGAATGAGACAAGCAATGAAGTGGAGTGTTATTTTTGTTCCAACGACCTACAAGTATCTGATGAACAACATTGTAGAATGATGATTCCTCTTCTTGAACTTTTTTCTCATGCCTATAAATTATTCCTTTCACTTTCTCAATCATTGTATCCCGCATGTCGTAAACTAAGTGAAGGCAAGGTTTATCCGTATCAGAAAATCTAAGCATGTCATAAATGGGAGAAGTAAAGGAAAGAACATAACTTTTAGAGTCCCACCAAAGATCATCAAACACTTTCAATTTTACAAAACTTGCCTTCGTCATGTCATCTTCTCGATAAAGTGACCATTTTTCACTAATAACCAAAGCTTGAAGACCACGTCGGATAAGCTTAAATCTTTTTAACATAACAATAATAGAAGCAACTCATGTCTCCGCTACGGAAAGCAACTTCAAAGACACAAATTCATTAAACATTGCTAGTCTCATGGAATGGTTCATGATAAAAAAATTTATAATCATTACATCATCATGAAGATTAGTAATCCAAATGCATTTCTCATATATAATCAAATTATTTTCAACATTCTTTGCGACACAAATGTTCTTCAAAGCAAGATTTAGTGTGTGTACAGCACATGGTGTCCAAAAAATATGAGGATACTCCAATTCAATTATTTGTTCGGCACCTTTGCAATTTGGAGCATTATCGGTTATTACTTGAACCACCTTTTGATGACCAATTTCATTTATAACCTCCTTCATCAAGTTAGCAATAAAATATTTATCTTTTGTTTCACCGGAACAATCAACCGCTTTTAAAAACATTGGTCCACTCTCGGTCACTGCCATAAAATTAATTAGTGGCCTTCTTTGTGGATCACTCCATCCATCACTCACAATGATAACTTCTTTTTCCGCCCCTGTGCCTTTAATTGGATTTAATAATCTTTTCACATTTTTTTTCTCTTTTTGAAGAAGAGTAGTTCTCAACTTGTTGTAACCGGGAGACAAATATCCCGAAATTCGACTATTGGAAGCAAGAGTATAAGAACTAATGTAATAAGGATTTCTTGCAAGAGTAAAAGGCAAACCACTTGAATAAAACATTCTAGCAATTTCGAAATTCAATTGGTCACGTGCTGTCACATTAAAAGCATTTTATATTGCACTATTCTTTCTTTTCCTTTCCTCCAAAACATAACAATCCTTAGAACCCATATTATTCGATGGCAACTCTTTTCCCTGCCTTAGTTTGCATTCTCAACTTGACTTCATCTTCCATTTTTTCGCATTTCACATATATCTTTTATAGTTACTTTTCCACAAGCCCCAATTCCATAGCCTTGTAATTTTAACAATTGTGCCTTCACTCTTGTATAAGAACTTGTCTTAGTTGCATTACAAAAATTACATTGTCAAAGAATGTTACCACCCGTTTCATTAAATTTATCAAGTTTTGTAACATATTTCCAAAGAGGTTTAGACAAATCATCATTCATAACATTATCACTCATAACTTCAAAAGAAAAATAATTTCAAATACTTAAATAAAATAGAAATGATATTACCCGAAACTTGAAAAAATATCTTCTTCTTGATCTTGCAAATGATTCTTCAAATGTGGATTGATGAAATTTTTGAAAAAGGTGAAATAACAAAAAAAAACTTGCATGTTTTGAGATTTTCTTACAATTTTTGCGAGTTGCTGTGACTGAGGAAGAAAATGTATGCGTTGTTAATTAAGTTTGATTTGTTGTTGAAGGGTAAAATGGTACAAATTGATCAAACAAAATATTGTACATTATTTATAAAAAATTACAACCGTTGAAAAGATACAAAACGTGCACAAAAGGAGAAAATTTACAGTGGTGGGCCCACAAATTGAAATTTGCATTGTTAAAGGATGACTTTTCATTTCAGTCGTCTCATCATCTTCTCTTCTCTCTTTTTTTCTTTCTTTCTCTGACAATAAACCAGCCACCAGGTTCTTCTTCTTCTTCTCTTTTTTCTTCTTTCCTTCGGGATTTTCTTTCTTTCCCCTGTTCCCCAGAAACCTCACTTCCGCTAGTTTCATTTTTTCAGCCCAACAGTAATTTCCTCTTCTCTTTTCTCTATTCTTTCTTTCCTTCTCCAGATCGCCAGACTTCCACCGGTAGCATTTCTTCCTCCCATCTCTTTTTCTCTGTTGCATATCTTCAAGTCAGCTGCCCACCAAAGTCTCATGTGACTCCGACGCGCGTCGGCGACGTGTCGGACGCGTATCGGTGTCCGACTCCCACCAAAGCCTCACGTGACTCCAACACGCGTCGGCGACGTGTCGGAAGCGTATCAGTGTCCGACTCGTGTCGAACACTGGTACGTCGTCGTCGGGAGCGTGTCGGTGCTTTCTAGCCAATAGCTCCTAACAAGTAGCCCCAATTCTTATCACACAAGTATTTTTTATTGCGTGAAAGGAAACAATTCAGTTTAATCTATGAAATCCGATTCTAGTTTAGCATTTAATGTTACGTGCAACACAAACATTCCCAAAGCCATTAGATCCATTTTTTTCAAATTTCACATATAATCATCAACAGTACTACAAGAGGCAAAAGAACGATTTCGAAGTTCAAGAAAACAAAATCTAGAGTGTGGTCTTAAATTATGAGTATAATTCAGTTCCTTCTTCCAGCTTTATTTCGCTTGGATGCAACTACAGTCCATCCAGCTTCTACTTCAGCCACTTCCTCGGGGCTAGTCTCATCAATCATCATGTCCTCTTCACTCAAACTTGAATCAGGAGCATCAACTCTCATTTCTGTTGAAATATCACCATCATGACCGTCGTCATCACTATCATCTTCATCGTCACTACGATCCTGACAAAATGGAAAAGAAATGCAAGTTGTCCGTATTAGCATATGAAAAAAGGATAAAGCAGCATTCTTTCCTTCATTACCAAAAAGATAAAATTTTAACAATCAATCCTAATAAAATTTTGTGACAGATTGTTCTATATCATCCTAGCCATTTGGCCCAAGCAGAGTAAATATTGTTCGGCTACCAATTACTGGCCATCGTTTTACTTTACATGAAATTTACAAGAGATAGTTGGAAATACTAACCATCTATAAATCATGGAATATTTTTCATACATATATATATATTTCATTTGTGACCAAAAAAAAGAGGAGGTGACATCTTTGGGAAGAAACCACCATTGAATATCCTCAAGATATCCTTCATGAAACATTGTTAAATTCTGAAAGTTTTGCCTAGATGAAGCACACCAGCATAAAGCTTTTATATGACTATCACAAGGCAGGTTATAGATCCAACGATGTATTAGGTGCTACCTCGATTTGCATTTTGTTTTAGTCCAAATAATATTACCTTCTTAAAACATTAGAAAATATTATTTCAGGACTCCGATCATAAAATCATTCGTGAATATAAGTAAAATTGTCGATATTTAGTAATTTGGGCTCCACGGTATAACCAGTCACTGAAAGACTACCTAGGGATTCTATCTTGAAATTAAACATGTATATACACCCATGTAATTGTCTCCAATCATACTTGAGTAATGACTAGATATGGATCCAACTTATAGGATCAATATTTACATCAGAATTCGAAAAACTGCCCATTCATATATTTATTCCTTCCTTGTTAGAAAACATTCCAATGTTCGTCATTTAATAAACAACAAGCTCGGTTCATGAACAAAAATATTGATCCAAATAACAATAAAACTTGTTCAATCACTAGAGAGTGATAGTTACCTGTCTGACATAATATACACTTGGAGCATTTGTTTCCTTTAGGCTTTTAATTGAGTTAAAGTTACCTTCTGCACATTCTTCATGCATAAACACCAACTTTTCTGCTACCTGAATGCGGTTTCCACAGGAACAAAATGAAGAAAAAAGATAAGGATTAGTAGATATTTGGAAAGGTCTCATTCAAAACTTTGCAACCAACAGATATTTATTGAACATGAACTATATCGAATAAATAACTAACAGAAAATAAAAATAATTATCATTGTCTAATGTTAATATCATGTAGATCATGGTTGCCACAAGATAGTTCAACGAGATCATCCATCACTAATCTTAAAATGTTCTTGAGTAGACAACAATTATATTGATCAGGCAAAATGATTGGCCCCAGAGCAAGGTTTCACAACAAATATTGCCAATCGGAATATTAAATCTCATCGGAGCTTCACTATTTTTCCTTGTACACGTGGATTTAACTGCTGTTCATTTTGCATTTTGTATACTAATTTTCAACTGTAACCTTGAGTTTGATCCAAATTTCACGGCTTTTGATGTGTGCATGTATGTAGCTTGTAACTATGCTTTTATGTGTTGTATTTATATGATATAGTTGAAGTTCACAAATTAGACCAAGAAAACATACCTCCTCAATGCTACCATCATCTGCAACGGTTTTCAGAGACACCAAGAAGTCATAAAGCATATTCTCTAGATCATCAGTGTACACTTTTTCTGAACACCAAATTAGACAAATCAAATATCATGCTGGTCGAAACAGGCAAACCAAAGCGGCTTTATTATACCTCAAATTTAACGAAATGTGTTTCTCTCATCCACGCATGCGCTGAAAGTAATATCCGATCTTTAAACGATGTTTTAAGTTTACTTTTTTTTTTTTTCCTAAACCCAATTTGGACAAGTCAAAATAAAGCTGGTTGCTAAGGGCAAACAATTGTTTCCTTTATTATACCTTAAATTTAATGTAAATACATCTCTCTTGTTCAAACATACAAAAAGAGAACAAGACTCAATCTTTAAACCATAATTTAACATATAAAAAAAGGCCGTACCATGATCAATGTATACTTTTCCTAAACACCAAATTAGACAAATCAAATCAAGATGGTGGCAACAGGCAAACCATAGTGTACTTCATTATACCTCAAAATTAATGAAAATACACCTCTGTCGTCTTCACAAACATGAAGAGAAAAAGAAAAAATGTTAAACAGTAATTTAGCATTCCAATCAATCACGGTCGTATTGACTATAATGACATAAAAACACATCACTTGAGCGTGCGCATGTACAATCAAATACGAATAAAGAAAATACCTTTGGATTGAATGAGGGCTTGAAAGAGTATTTGGGCGAGTTGTTGGGGTTTCTGGGCAGAATCACGACTGCGGCACTCATTGACGGCTATTCGAAGAGCGGTCCATCGGGAGAGCACCAAATTTATGCCCTCGTGTAGCTGAGCAGCCGCCTCCGCAGTAAGCACCAGATTCTTATTTGTGCCCACCATTACTTTCTTATGTGATTTTCCACTTTTTGGCTCAGTGAAAATGCCAAAACCCTACTACTCTCTCGAGTTCTTGGGTTTACAGTTTGTAAAAAAAAAAGTATTAAAATAATATGCAACTGATACATAAAAATTTAAAATCTTGTAAGAATTTTCATTTACAACAACTTTTATTAAAATCAACTAAAAATCCATTTTTTTAAAAACCAAATAGGAGCCAAATTGCAACCCTTAAATCAAATTTCAAACTTTATCCCTCATCCTTTCTAATTGGGTTCGTTGATTCATGTGCTAAACTTTTTGGAGTTGATATAGTAACAAAAGTACCATACAACCACAAATTTTTTTGAGCAGGTTCTTGCATTGATGTGTACAAAGCCTTAGAGTGATGCCGGATAAAAGGGATTCAGGCAGAGAATAAAAACAACACGAAAGAAGCAGAATTGCAGAACCTTTGCAAGAAGGAGAAGAGAAGAGGAAGAGAAGAAGAAGACGGGGGGATGTAAGTATTATGCCCTAGGTCCAATCGACTTTGGACATAAATACTTTTATATATAATTAATGCAATTAAAATGGCAGATCTATTATTTAATTAATAGACAATTAAATAAATAATAGAGTCCGTAGATTCAAATATTTGTAATTTATTAATCACAAGGAGTTGTGATTGTGAGATACAAATTACATCTGATTGAATCTTAAATCATCCGTGGTCGTAAGTAATAACGAGATACGGATATCGTCATTACGGATAGACCATCACGTGTGGCATTTCTTACTTGTGAAGTAAGTAGCTGATCTCACAAGTTAAAGTGTGGTGACACTTAAATGAACACGTGGATGTTTGTTATAGAACAAAACATTGGAGACCCGTCGAGAGATTCCACATGGATAACTATCTGAGTGTCGGTGGTTAATCTCTAACGTTCGGTAGTGAAATTGGTCCTTTGACTTGAGGTCGTCATGGTACCTTATATGAGGACAGTCATACTTTGACGGTGTTGGATGTTGCTCTGAAAAGGACCGCTAATGAAGCAAAGGACCGAATCCAAAACTCTCGAACAGAGAATATGTAATTTTCATTTCCTTAGCTTTTAGATTTAAATACTTTTCTTTCTGTAACTCGTGTGCTTGCGCCCCTTGGAGACACGTTGTTTTTCGTTTCCAATTGTAAACTTCATCGTCAATAAAAGAACACCCCTTTTTGGGACTTTGTCTCAAGAGGTTTCGTTCCTTACACAATCGTCTGATCCTTTTTAATTGTTAGCGACTTAACCCGCGCGAAACAGGAACATAAAATTAAAATATAAGTTTAAGAATTCTAAATAACATGAACACGAAAGTAATAGGAACCCATAATCTCTTTAACTAAATAACTACGAGAATATAGTAAAGCCCTTTTGCAAAAGATTTAATTTTCAAGTAACCGACAATTCAACTAAAACATACTAGGTTTTGTGTAATAGCCCATAATGTTCTATATTTACATTCTCCGCGTTGCAAAAATTACAGAGAATCCGATAGTGAAGAAGAGAAATTTACATTATTTGAATTGAAGGAGGGCACTGAATCTACCTCGAAGACGGCGAGACGGACGAGGATGACACAGCGTATCTGTGCCAAATTGCTTAGCAAATTTTAAATAAATAATGTCCATTAGTAAAAATTAAAATAAATTGGTTAATTATCTGTTATAGATAAATATTAATATTGAATGTTTATTGAAGAAGTTATTTTCCATTCAAAACCCTATTTCAATACGAAATAGAATTATAGTTGAATTAGGAAGTGTTCATCTCTATAATTCTACGAAACGGCAAGTCCATCAAATTATGCATGTGACTAGAGATATTTAGTGTTATATCATAAAGAATCGATGATATTAAAAACCCTACTACACGAATTAAGGTATGTAATTACTGTATACTTATATTAAGGGTCTGTTTGATCGTAAAGATAGAATTTGGGTGGAAAGAAAACAAATTTCAGGAATTATATTGCCTAGAAATTGTTTTCCTGAGAATTGTAAATTATTGTTTTTGATTGGTATAATTTTTCACGTGGAAAATATTGAAATAAAAGTATTTTTTGTGTTCGTTTGGTTTTGTTTTACATGAAAATTGTCAATTAAAATGATAAAATTTACTGGTATTGGAGATAAAATTTGTTTCCACCCAAAAAAAAGCGCCAAGAAAAGCATCTATCTTTTGATATTCGTTTGACTTTATTTTACATGAAAATTATTAATGTAAGGGATATTTTTTTTTATAATTGTTTCTAAAATTTGTTTCTATTACCAAAAATAAATAAATAAAAGATGGAAAATCATTTCCCACCAAAGTGGTGGAAAAAGAAATTCCCCAAAACCATGAAAATGTGACCGTGTGAAGAAAAGAGAGAAAATCAATTCCATACCAAATTTTGCCTATCAAATATGAGAAAAAGTGGAAAATGATTCCATTTTCCATGAAATTGGTGTGCAATCAAATATGGCCTAATGTAATAGTAGACTTGCATCGAATAGAACAATCCATGAATAATTATATTTGCACCATTTTTTTTTTTGGTTAATCACAATTTATTTAAATTGCAATCAAGGCAATCAATTTTTGCACTTATATCCCCAACTTTTTCCGTCGTATTTTACCATTGACCATCAATTTAATGAGTATATAATTTTTCTATTGAAATTTCTGTCCAAATATTTTGAATGGGGGAAACATTTTCAAACTTTTGTATTTATTATTTATTTTACTTTTATAAAAATATGAGTCGGAAATGAATCGTCATTGTTATGATTTTTTGGGTAGAAGGTAAAAATGAGCAAAAAAAATAAAAATGGTGTGATTAATTAAAATTGTGGTGCAAATATGAATTCCACAAAATAACTAGTGAAGATCAAGAGGGTGTCTGACACCTATTTTTATGGAAAAAAATTTATAATAGTAGATTGATGAAAAATGTGTGGATGAAAATTAAGAAAAAATTTTTATCTACTTATAATATTATTTTAATAAAAAATATATAGTTAAAAAAAAAAGAAAAAAAGTATTTTTAATAAAAATGAGAATTAAACGGAGCAAGAAAAGCATGTTGAATGCCAAAAGCACACGCGTTTGTCCTATACTTTTCTTGTCACTTGTACACTGTTTCCTCCATGTAATATATACTGGCAAATGTATACTTTTCTTCCCACCCACGTGTCCAATAAACCAATGGGAAACGTAATGCCTCACATATAATTGATATTTTTTTTCCAGTTCAACATAAGTGAACAAACTGATATTTTCCTCTAAGATTGCTTGGCTGCTCTCCACCATACAAATATTTCAAATAATTTATTTTTCCTGAAGATAAAAGGGCATTCCACCGGGCATTACCATTCTCAGTTTTCTTCCCTGCAACTTCTCCTTTATATTTCCATTGTAGAGGCTGTCTGCCCTTCAAAAAAGGTACCATTATGCATAGATCTTGGTTTAATAGAGTTTTAGTAATTGTAAAATAGTGCAATTTTCGCATGATATGTTGAGTTTTAATCAGCCTCCACTAATTTCATCTTCTTCATGGAAAAGCAGGTTCTTTAGAGATCATATTTAACAGAAGAGATGATGCTGAGAAGCTCGTCTACTCCAGTTCTTGGATCCCTACTATCATCCTTTCCAGAAAATCCTAACAATAATCACTACCAATCTGAAGTGCCTAAAGACACACCAACTTCCATCAATCAAAAACTCTCTCGTGGATCTCAACATTACCCTAAATCTTTATGGCATTCATCTCCCTCGACCTCCAGCCAACGTTCCCCGAGCGGATTTCGAAGAGTTCAATCCGACGGAAACTTGGAAGAATTGGCTAATGTCTCGTATAATGTTGACGAGTTTAGTTTCTCCAACGCGTCGAAGAAATTTGCTCGTAAACCTAATTGTTTCGCGTTGGAGCCAATCTCGTCTTTCTCGTCTCACAACTTGGGAACTTTTCGAGAAGATGAAGACAGCGACGAGGACGAGGACGAAAACGAAGGGGATGTAGAAAGTGTTGAGGAAAACCAAATCAAGGGGCATCACATGCATTTGAAAGAAGAGATGACGAGTGTGAATAAATATGATACTTTGATGTTTGAAGGGGAGAGGAAAATGTATCTTGCAACAGGGTTTGGGGTTGCGGATATTAGTTATTTCGATGGGAATGGACCCGTTGGAGGAGGAAATGGCGGCAGTGGTGGTGGTGGTGGGAACTATAGACCGGTAGCCTTCGATAGGGATGGTGGCGACAGCCGTGGCAGACTTGGTATGGAAGAGCACTACAAGAGAATGCTGGAGGAAAGTCCAAACAATCCTTTGTTTTTGAGAAACTATGCTCAGTTCTTGTATCAGGTAAGTCCCTTCACTAGAATATGCCTATGAGTATGCTCCAATTATATTTTTGGTATATGGTAGACCGGACATGACATGGTCGTGCCAGTTAACCATACCAAACATGCTATAAAATCTTAAAAATCATTTTACCAAGCGGTCATCTAAATCTGACATAGTTTCTTGCTTTAAAGAACAATCATAGACAAACATTGATTCACCTGTTTTTGGCAGACAAAGGGAGACCTTGAAGGAGCAGAGGAGTATTATTCCAGGGCTATTTTGGCTGATCCAGGAGATGGTGAAATTCTCTCACAATATGCTAAATTGGTGTGGGAACTACACCGCGATGAAGATAGAGCCACAAGCTATTTTGAACGAGCAGTACAAGCATCTTCTTATGACAGGTTCGTAGTTTGAAAAGAAACATCCTTGATCTCGTCTATTCTTATTCAGTGTTCAATGCCTAGTACAGTCTTTTTGTACATATTTGTATGGAAAGTGTCATCAAGTGATGTCTAATCCATCTTAATAAACATGCAATTACAATGTTGTGTCAACTTGTATCATCAAATCGCATTCTGACTCTTCTACAATATTGTGTCACCAGCCACATTCAAGCAGCATATGCCAGTTTCCTCTGGGAAATGGGAGATGAAGATCAAGACGAGGCATCCGAGGAAACCAATATTGGGCCAGCACCCTTCCACAGCCAAGCCATGGCTTCTGCAACTGCTTAGTTTAACTGCAAGACAACTGTTTCGAGCAGAGTATCAAAATTAATGCTAGGGGAATAGGAATGACTGAGAGTTTGATGCATTTTCAGATTTTATTTGTTAAAGTATACACCATGTAATTTTTAGATCATATAATTCTCAAGACACTAAACATACTCATAAATAGGATCTTAATTTTATTTTCGATAATAAAATATGTATCCATCTCTTCTATGATGGCTATGTTTCAATCTGCTTAGTGCCATTGCACTGATGTTTTGTTTCTGTTGTTTATTCCTAGAATTTCTGCTTGAAATAAATATCAAAGGCGATTCTAGAATACTGGTATACACAATTTTCTTCTGATGATTGCCCAGAAGGATGCTGCAAAAACAATAAGACGAATGCACGTCATATGAAACCCAAGAGATAGTGACCAAGATGAGTAGAGTGAGGGCATGTTTAACATGTAGTATTACACAGAGAGGACAGTGGACGGCTCATTGGAAAAGATTTTGGCCATTTTCCCTTGGCATAGCAGAAGACGTGAAAATTAAGGCTTAAGCCACCTACGTTTCTATTGGCAAAGAAAAGGGAGTTCATGAACACATACTCCCTCCACGAGAAGCACTGCTGTTATTTGGTCTTCTCTCCTCAATGTAAACTGGCCTTCCATCCAACTGAAGTCCTAGATCTGAATTGCACGTTTGAGAAACTACAGGTAGTGAATAGCACATGCATTTAGCAAGCCAGGACAGTAGCCTGCTTAATTTCCTAAGCAACTGGATGATTGCCCAGGCAACATTGAAAAATAAAATAAAATTGAACAGAAAAGTAAGAAGGAATTAGGGGCTTCTTATATTTATTCAAGTTGTTATATCTTATGCTGTTCCATCTACCTGATGCTGAAATCATAAAAGAACTCAAAACGGCTTTTGAAATTTCTTTTTAATTCCAACATTTTAGAGTCCTCAGCCACAAAGCCCAAAGGAGTCCCTTTTTCCCCTTTGGCTGGTAATCACATCAGCCATAAAAGTTGTATATCACCTCAGTCGGGGAGAAATTTTGAATTCTTCAGTTTAAGGGCGTGCTTGGTTTCTAAATTATCGTACAATCGAAATTAGGTGAACTACGAAATAATTCTTGCCAGACGTGTAACAGGCACATGGTGGAAAATATCTATATACCAACAATATTTAATTAAGAAGAGGGAAGGATGCACTAAACAAACTATTTGGCTGTTATAGAACAAAAAAAAATGTTGACCAAAGCGGTGGGAACAGAGTAAAATTTATAATATATAAAATTTGAATGAAACAGCTCACATCTTGATCACAAGACAACACATCATTGACTGATAAGAGTTCAAACCTTGATAGCATTCCGAGCACTCAGCACATCTTCAAACTCAACAAACGCATAGCAAAGACCAGTATCCTGTCCATCAATTGAAAGATCAGAGATCCCACATTTTACACCTTTTATAAAAGACAGTGGAAAGGAAATGGACCTGGCCATTTTTTAAGAAGAATCCATCGTTCTTGATTTTCCCAAAGTTCTTAAACTCTTGGAGAATATCTAGACTAGTAACACTAAAAGACAGATTCTTCACATGGACAGATCTTGATTCCCCGGCTGAAAAGTAGTTGCTTTGATCAAGCTGATATGATCCAATTAGAAGAGAAAGTAGTTTGCAGTATGTAAAAAGGCCAATTGCAACAAATTATATTAACAAATCATCCATTAATGGGGATTCACTCATTGTACCAAAATCCAGGAGAAAAAAGAAATGATATTTGTTCAAAGTCAATATCTTCTTAATGTACGCTCTTCATTTACGTGCTGATATCATAGGCTTGATTATTACCACCGAAATGAGAAATGTATCGTAAAATAAGTGCTTGACCACATCTGGCTAGTCAATTACATTCATGATTACTAACAACGTTACTAAAATAAGATTTTCCAAGAACATAGCCACTAAATCACATATATCATTCAAGTACTGTAAGTTTAGCATACTTCAATGACTCGTCACAAAAATGAGCATGACTAAAAAGAGGAGACAAAAGTATCTATTTTCCCATGCAAATTCATCCATCAGATTTATACAACTATCCCACAAAAGCTTGCTTATTTTTCACATAGTCACAGGGATAATTTCACTAGAAGTACATACTGTTCAAAGGTCAGGATAATTACTCTCCTAACCTATAACATAATGTTCCACTACTTAGTTGTCTGCTTCCTCCAAAAACTAAGGCGTTGTAGAAGGACCACGACCTTGTCCTCCTGTATGAGTTCATTACTGTTTTCAAAGAATCTACAATTCTTTCAATTCATTGAGATGGGAGTTACAGGGTAAGAAATGAGGAAGGGCAATCAACCTCTAACAGATTTCTACGATTTCAAGGACCATGTCCAAAAGAGCATCAAATAGATGATAGCATTTTCAGTACTCATAGATTCCTATTTCCATGGTGATGTCAAAATTCTGTGGTATCAATTATTTTCATTTCTTATGATAGGAGTGTACCAACAAATGATATGTGGACTGTGTTAAGAAAGTATTGAGTGATTCCTTGTCAGACAATGAATTATCCTGGCTACGAGTTCATGTTGGTCACTACCCTACATTCATACCTATGTCATATAACATTCCAACTTATATGACGTCCATGTGATATAAGCACGCAAATGGCAATATAATGCAAAACAATCACAGAGAATTATCATCGTGATGTCTTTAACTATCATAACTGGCAACATGTACATGCTATGGAAGCATAAGTCAACTTCAGAAGCTCTCCAACAGGTTCTTCTGCAACAGGCACGGCTTCTTGCACAGTGTTATCTGCTTCTTGAATGAACAAACTCGATTCTTCCAAAGCAGGTTCCTCATCTACTCTTTCAGCCTCGGAATCATGCTCCTTCTGGTGCTCCTGAAAACTGTATTTTTCAACCAGCTCTTCTCCTTCAATATGAACAGAGTTCATGTATTCCTTGGCCTCCACCTCTAATGCATAGTCAGAGGCTTTGGCAAACAAAACATGTTAGCCCAAAGATACTATATAAACATGCATGCAAGATATCATTTCTCACATAAAATCAATAGAACAGTGTCGGAATGTAAATATGATGCAATAATCAATGTTTCTGTATATATACAGATCTGGTGTATAATGCTGTGTCAGCCCAGATATATCATTTTGTATGAGTCGGCACTAGTATATAAATGAATGGAGAGATTGTAAACGTTTCAGATTCCATTTTATGAAATTACTTTCTCACACCTGAAGAACTCCCTCAATCCTGTTAATCTCTCACACACAACTTTGGCTTCAATTCTCAAAAAGTATGAACTATTGTTGTCAAGAGAAGAGAAGTCTAAAAGAACGATCTGTGGTTTCACAAACTGAACAACTCCAAGCACGAAAAAGGGACTGTAAAAGGCTTTGCAATCTTGAAATCTGGAAATAGCTAAATTAGTACTTGCTCCAGTCAAAATTGAAAGAGGAAATGTGTCTGTGATATAATCATAATGATGATGACGCAATAATGAAATCTAGAAATTCTTTTACATAGACACCAAAAGTTACAGATTCAAATGAACATCTTTGTTTTGTTAACTGTCAAAAGCAGTTGAGGAAGGAAAATGAAGGCATAAAATCCTCTTGCGCGTGACAGATACCTATGAGAATTACTTCAAGCTCTATTTGGAAAATAGTGTTCATGTTAAATAAAAATATCTGTAAATCCAAACCAGCAACTATACGCGGTGGCTCAGGAAGATGAGAAGAAATATTTGGTTGGTAATCATTTTTCTGTTCCTGCACTGCTGCAGGTGGAGGTTGAAGAGGAACCTTCTCATTGGCAAAGTGAAAGATATCATTCAGAACAAAATATCCACTCTCTTGAGGAGCAAGGGAAAACGTTCGCACAAATTGCCTCCACCATCAAAATCCCTTAGCAGAACCATAAACCACCACTTGAACACCTCTATTCAATGATTCAAGAGAATTTATTCTCTTGATCTCGATTAAAGTGAAATTTAGTGACATGATACTTAATGAATTTGCTGCAGACAAAAGCAGAGAGATAGATGTAAGACTTATTCAATGGCAACCAACAAATCAAAAAATCCAACACATACATTAACATGCAAAAGCTGTAGCCAATAGTTAGATAATAGTGTGTAATTGCTTCCCAACGACCAAAGCCAACTACACCTGTACAACAGTTTGACACAAGGAACATGAAGAAACGACAGGTGTTATTTCAAAACATTCTGATAAATAAAAAAATGAACAAAATATGATGTAGAGCGTGAATAAAAGAAGAATTGGAGAATCTGTGAGAGAAATTTATGATAGGAAGTTTATGAAAGCCCAAGAACAACTAACCAAGAGGGGGGTAAATTGGTTATTCGATCCTTTTTCGAATATAAGCGCAAATTTAAACAAATAACTATTAATAAACAAGATAACACAAAAGTAATAAAAGGAATGGAAAAGAGAGTGTAAACGATGTAATAAGGAGGTTTGATCCAATCACGATCTACGTTCCCCATTACCAAGCTCTCCGTCACGAGCAAGCCCTTTTTCACTATATTGATTGACTTATGATGCAATCTAACCTTCTTACAACGTTTTCGGTGACTTACAAACAAGGAGCACCATTCCTTTACAATGTTGAAATTTTCGGGACTTCAACTCGACCCACAAGTTTGAAAGATAAGGAGTATACAAGTGAAAACTTCTCTTGCAATAAATGATATAATTGAAGTTGAATACAACAAGAAAAGATGGCTAACACTTTAGTAGATAGCAATGATTGAAGCTCAAGTGTTAGAAAAGAAAAATACTTTGATAAGAATGATTTTCAAAAGTTGGATCAATCAAATGTTTTTCTAATAAATAGATTGAAAAAATAGATGTATATAGGTGATAGATTAATGATGTCTCACTTTAAATGCTCATGTAAAGTCCCTCATTGAATGCAAAGTGATCTAGTATTTATAACAACAAAAACGGCCAAAAGTTCTGCTCTACCGGACGAAACTATCGAACGTCCGCTATCATGGTCAACTAACCATTTTTTGTTCAGAAGTCAGAACGTTCGATTTCTTAACCGTTGGACAAACCTGTCATACCGAACATCTGCTAGAATTACCGGACTCATCTGGTAGAGCTATCGGATGCGTCCTCTAAATCAGCATATTTTTGGATTTTTCCTTCTTTAAATAATGTGGCAAAATGTAAACTCATGAAGGATATTTCTAACATGTTTTACGGACTTTTTGACATGTTTAAAAGTATGTAATAGGTTCGTGCTTTTCTTTATGCAAAAATCGTGTTTGTCGTGCGAAGAAACGTTGCTTGAGCTTCAAATGACGTATATCTCAAATACTAAAGTGTTTTACCTTAACATTTGAAATCAAAGTGTCTAAATATATTTTCTTCTAATTTCTTCTTGAAGTGATCGTAGTCTTGATATGTAGCTTGATTTCCACTTTGTCCAAACTTGAAAGAGCTCCGCCTGTCGTAAACTTCTATAATCACTTAAACACAATTGTTAAATAAAATATGTTTGTTATAATCAAAACGAGAAGTCAATCGTAGGCCAACAATTTTCCCCTTTTTAATTATGAAAAACATGAGATGATGGAGATAAAAATAACGAAATAATTCCCCCTATCTTTTATACGCGTATTCCCCCTTACTTAAGCATTCCTATCATGCGTATCGTTTCATCATAATAAATCATGTATTCTCATAATTGATAGATCATGTATATCATCTCATAATTGAAAAATTATGTATATTATCTCATAATTGACACATCATGTATATCATCTCATAATAGTTTTCCCCCTTTTGGCATAAACAAAAAGAATGATAAATATGAGAAGTAACATAAGTTCATAATATCATAACCAAAACGTCAAAAGATAAAGTCATAATGAGTTGGGGAGTACACTAAAAGATGCATAAGGTAAATAATAAAACCAAAAACTAAGGCGCCGGAGGAGGTGGTGGAAAATGTGCGTAAAAGTGAGCATAGAACGCATTCTGCTGAACTTGCATTTCAGCCTACTGTGCAAGAATAGCATCCTGCTGAGCCTGGATCGCGGCCTGCTGTGACTGGACATTTTGAAGAACACCACTAAGCCCATCAACCGATGTCATGAGAGAGTCGAGACGCTCGGTGAGTAAATGATACATATCCTCGGTAAAAGTGAATCCTCGGGTAGAAGAGGAAGATGTGCTAATTGGTGGTGGATGTGAGAGTAATGGGACGTCTTCTTCAGCTTCTTCTTCGTCCTCAAATGGTAATGTAGAAGGACCCGAGGCAGGGTCGAACCCTTTAGTGTAAGCTGCCCATTGTCCTTGAGTTTTAAAGATTTTCATACGCTTGAGGGTTTGAATATTGATCGTATCGGTGGGACGAGGTTTGACGACGACTTCACCCTCAAGAGAGACATTGAAGTGTTTGAAAATTTTTGTTAAAAACATAACATAGGGCAAAGTTTTGGAATAACGAGAAGTATGGATAAGTTTCATAAGACCTAAAGCAATTGTGGAAAATCTAACTTTCGACCAACGAGAAATGAATCGAGAATGAACAAATCAACATAATTAACGATGCCCTTTTCTAGGTAAAATAACATTTGCAATGATATTTTGCAATACTTTGCAAGGTAAAGAAAGTTGATTAGCACTAATTTTTGTGATGTTTTCAAAGTATTTTCCCGTCACACAACGACATGCATCACTAGGATTATAACTTTCTAAGGTCGGGTGAGCTTTATGAACAAAGGCTTGCGTATCATAAGGTTCAAGCCCAAGAATTTCCCGAATAAGAGTTTTAGTGACGATGATCCTTACATTTTTAATGAAACAAGAGATACTATCAGAACGTGGTGTAATAACCATTTTTGTGTAAAAAGTTTTCATAAGTTAAGAATAAGCATTTTCTTCCAACGAACATACCGAAGCCCATCCCATATTTTCAAAGAATTCTTGAATGTGAAAAGCAGATGCCTCAACAGAAAAAACCAAAAAATCAACATTTTTACCTAATAGAATGGGAGATTTTTTAAGTGGGTTCACCGCCTCTTCGGGTTCAAAATCCGTTTCTTCGTCGAAGGAGGGTGTTGGTGGCCGATGTTCCGTAGTTTTTGCCATTTTTCCAACTTGCTTGGTCCTCGGCATTGATTGAATGGAGGCAAAATGGTGAAAATCGAGAATTAGGGCACAAATTGGGGAAATGAGAAATTTTGAAGCAAAAAAACAAATTTTGTGAGGGAGAGATGAAGAAGATGAAGTGGGTTAATGGTTTTTATGTGATTTTGTAACAAATTAGAAAAGTAGATGAAGAAATTTGAGTGAAGAGAAGAGGAGAGTTCGAAGAAGAAGAGAGAAGGTGGGAAAAAATGAGGAGAAAGTGATTGTCGCATTTTTAAAAATCTAATATTTCAGTGCACTGGACGTCCGGTAATGTTTACCAGATCGTCCGGTAGGACAGAAAAAAGTTTCTGTCCAACCGGATGATATACCGGACGCGTCCGATGGACTCGTCCGAAACCTTTTTTTTTTTTAAATAGAATAGAGAGATTAAAGACATAAAACAAAAAGGAAAATATATAAATGATTTAACGCTTAATTCACTTCATTCTTGTCAAGAATACCTAAACCTCTTCGAAGATAGGAAAATCGGTCATGCGCTAGAGGTTTTGTAAAAATATCGGCCAATTGGTCTTCAGTCTTTATAAATTCCAATTCAATATCTCCTTTTTGAGTATGATCACGAAGGAAATAATGTTGAATCTCAATATGCTTAGTTCGTGAATGTAAAACGGGATTTTTAGACAAATTTATGGCACTAGTATTATCACATAAAATAGGTATATGATTGTAAGTCAAAAAATAATCACATAAAGTTTGTTTCATCCAAAGTGTTTGCGCACAACAACTAGCGGTTTAGATATATTTTGCCTCAGCGGTGAATAGTGTAACGGAATTTTGTTTCTTGCTAGACCAAGACACAAGTGCAAAGCTTAGAAAGTGATAATTTTCGCTAGTGCTTTTGCGATCAACATTACATCCGGCACAATCGGCATCCGAATAATTAATTAAGTCAATATGAGTGCCTTTTAGATACCAAAGTCCTAAAGTTCTCGTACCACTTAGATAACGAAAAATTCTTTTTACAGCCTTTAAGTGTAATTCTTTAGGATTAGATTGAAAGTGAGCACATAAGCACGCATTAAACATAATATCCGGTCTACTAGCAGTTAAATAAAGAAGGGATCCAATCATACCTTGATATTTTGTGACATCCACGGATGTACCTTGCTCATCCTTATCAAGCTTTAGAGATGTGCTCATTGGTGTGTTCATAGGCTTAATATCATACATGTCAAATTTCTTAAACATGTCTACTATGTATTTATTTTGATTTATGAAAATTTCTTCTTTCATTTGTTTAATTTGAAGGCCAAGAAAAATTTTTAACTCACGCATCATGCTCATTTCAAATTCTTTACTCATGCATTTTGAAAATTCTTCACAAAAATGTATATTTGTAGAGCCAAAAATAATATCGTCAACATAAATTTGAACAATAAGCATATCATCTTTATGAGTTTTTATAAAAAAGTGTAGTATCCGCTTTTTTAATCGAAAAACCATTTGAAAGAAGAAATTTGCTCAACTGTTCGTAGCAAGCTTTAGGAGCTTGTTTCAAACTGTAAAGAGTCTTTTGAAGTTTAAAAACATGATCCGAATACTTGTAATTTTTAAAACCGGGAGGTTGCTCAACAAAAACTTCTTCTTGAATGAAACCATTTAGAAAAGCACTTTTAACATCCATTTGATAAAGTGTAAAATATTTGTAACATGCAAATGCAAGAAGCATACGGATGGATTCTAGTCTTGCAACGGGTGCAAATGTTTCTTTAAAGTCAATACCTTCTTGATTGTAACATTGGGCCACTAATCTAGCCTTGTTTCGCACAATTATTCCATTTTCATCCTTTTTATTTCTAAAAACCTATTTTGTTCCAATAACGGTTTGATTGTTTGGTCTAGCGACTAAGTCCCAAACATGGTTTCTTTCAAATTGATTTAATTCTTCTTGCATCGCTAAAATCCAAAACTCATCAAACTCGGCTTCATTGAAATTCTTAGGTTCGATTTGAGAAATAAATGCACAACTACCAAAATGATTTTTGTAAGAGGTTCTAGTAGTGATACATTTTGATGGATCGCTGATTATTAGCTCTTTGGGATGAGATGTAACAAATCTCCATTCTTTTGGTAACGATGGATCACTTTGTTCTCCGATTTGACTTTCTTCATTTTCTTGAGCATTTGACTTTTCTATATCTCCATTTGGTGCCTCCTTATTTTGGTCTTGAATTTTCATTTGTTCGAAAGGAGCTTCCAAACATACATCGTCATCACTTCCTTTCTCACGATCAAATAAGTTAGTTTCATCAAAAGTAACATGCATGGATTCTTCAACGACTAGAGTTCGTTTGTCAAAAAC